GCTTTATAAATTCACCTAGCGCAGAGAGAACCGGCACATTTCAGTAGATGTCATTATTTTCCCTTTCCAGGAAATTTGGAGGAGAATCTGAAGCATCACTCGGGTCTCCTGGACCTCCACGCCACTCAGCTCAGTCACAACAAGCAGCACCTGCAGGAGCTCGAGGCGACGTCCTACGACGGTAAACTGATCTGGAAGATCCAGGACTTCGGGAAAAGGAAGGAAGCCGAGGTCAAAGGTCAGCCACCGTGCCTGAGCAGTTGCCCCCCCGGACGCTGTGGCTACAAAATGGCCATTAAAGCCTATCTAAACGGGGATGGGGAGGGACGAGGGACTCACCTGTCCCTTTATGTAGTCCTGATGCCGGGAGACTTCGACGCTCTGCTGCCGTGGCCTTTCAGACAGACCGTGTCTCTGTCTGTTCTGGATCAAAGTGGTGCTGGTAACCACCGGAGTCTCAGCTTCAGACCTGATCCAACATCCAAAAGCTTCCAACAACCCAAGGCAGAGTCCGGCAGCAACATCGCCGTTGGATTTTCATGCTTCATTCCTCTGAACAAGCTAGAAACTCCACACAACGCAGTGTACGTCAAAGATGACACGATGTTTGTCAAAGTGAAGGTGGATGTATCCGGGTTAGACCACCTGTAAGCGTTTGTCCTCTAGGGTACTTTGTGTAGATTTAGTTTTTTTTTTCCCTTCTGGTGGCCAATTCAGGAAAGACAATGCAGCACAGACTGCTCGGTTTTCAAAGTGATGTTCTCAGTTCTCTACAGAATTTATTTGAAGTTTAATCACATACAAAAAAGCGTAGACATGTAGTAGCTGAAGGAGCAGTTCAGCATTTTAGGAAATAACTGCTTTCTTGCTGAGAGAAAGTTAAATATAAAGCAGCCGCACTGCTGGAATATTTATTCTTGGGGCTATGATGTGCAGGGCAGCTGGTTAGGGTTGAGGGAGGGGTGGGGGCAAGTTAAAAATCATAAGAACACTGGTTGGAGTAGTCTCCCAGCAGCCAGCTGATGCTCCAGGTTTTACTCAGACCCAACAAATAGCGCAGCACATGACCCCGCCTGTAAAATGGTAACGTCATCTTTACACTTAAGGTTTTGTTTAGGAGCTTTAGAGTTTTGCTACCTTTGGACGGGGTGAGGCTAGCTGTTTTCCCCTGCTTCCAGTCCTTAAATTACGCTAACCGGCTGCAGCTTCACATCTACAGCACAGACTGATCTGAGAATCCAACCCTCTGGAAGAAAGAGGTGTATTTGCCAAAATGTCAAACTTGTGCTTTAAGCTCTAGGATTGTTCGGTGGAGGTCTGACTACTGATAAGACTACTGATACATGTTAAAGCGTTTGGTCTTCATCAAGACCTAAATGTGCCACTGTTTCAAGAAGCAGACTCGTTTCCTCATGGATTCGTTTCTCTCAGCCTCTGACGAGAAGCGTAATGGATCAGCAAAGTTAGATCCAAAAAATCGAATGCTTTATCTCAAATAAATGAGATGGTGACATTAGGATCACAGGAGAAGTCGGTTGAAAACAACCATGGGGTGCTGCTGATGGTCCACAAGGGCCAAACTACCGTTTAATTTTTAGGGGTTTCTCAGGAAGTTGCGTGTTAACGTGACCATACTGTACTACTATATACCGGTTTTACCAGTGTCAATAATTACACGGCTTGTCAATGCTACACAGGTGGCAGTTTGTTCAGTCTAAAGAGAAATAAAGGCGCTAGAGAAGACCCTAGTTTCTGATTGGCTCCATGTCTTTATGGCAGCATCGGCCTGTCCAATGGGAATACATCTGTCCACTGCATCATTTCAGACTCATTTCCACAAAGTTCAGACTGACTGATTTGGTTTCTTTGTCAACTTACAGATCTCCACCAGAATTTAAAATAGTTGTGTGAGTTTGTAAAAGGTGGAGCCACATGTGTGTTCAGTGGAGTTGAACCTGTCTGAAGGATGAAGAACATGCAGGAGAGGGCCTGGCATGGAGGGTGAAAGGCTGCTAATCAGGAAATATGATTGATTTCAGATGGTTTTTCTCTGTTACATACTGCTGTCATGTTGAGGTTCGTGTGGTTTCAGTGTGATCCTCAGGGTCGAGGCAGAATACGACACATGACCACACACTGGCCTTCAGTCCAACTCCACTGTTCTTTGTGTCTGTTTACAAGTGTTTGTCGCTACGGAGACCAAGGACGCACCGTATCAACCCTGATACTGACTTACTGTCAGGTATGAAAAGGGAAAACATGGGACTGGTGTGTCCCCCACAACAAGAATGAGGTTCTCAATTTTTCTGTGAAAGACCCAGGGTTTTATCAGGCAGCTGAGCAGGAAGAAATAAAGTCTTTTATGTAATGAAGTTGACAAAGTTCGTTACTTCTGTCTTCACCAAAATCCTTCTGAGGCTGTGGAGACAGTCTCCACGGGGGGGACATAAACCGATAAAGGGAATATGTGGCACAGCAATAAAAACAACGTGGTGAACAGGCAAATGGAACACAGCCCTAAAGGGTTAAATGTAGCATAGCTGCTGTGGGCGGAGCCAAAGTGGGTGGCCCGCTGTGGCCCCGGTCTGCCCCACCCCTGGTGACACCCCTTCCAGGATCAAAATGTGATGCTTGTCAGTATGAATGAGTGACAAATGAAAAACAATGACAAGCTGTTGCCTTAAATACAACTAACATTTCTCTGGTGCCTTATAACTGATATTGGTCAAATTAGTTTTATATCTGCATGGAGCACGATGTTTGTATTCGTTAGTCTGTGGAGTACTTGGCCTGACTCACCTCTGTGGGGGGGGCACTATGAAGCAGCACTGTTAGCTAAAGAAAGCACTGTGCGTGTCATGTTTATACAAAATAAACTATGTGATTCTTTATTATTTGATAGAATTAGGGGTTTGATTTATTTTGTACATGCAATACAAATGTGCCGTCTGGGCCCCAACCTGGCCATCCTGTCCAAAAACTGTGTTGATGACGAGTGATCATGACCGGAGACCCTCTGTAGGTTAATGTTGTACGCTCACAGCAAACAAAATACACACAATTTATAGATATTGATATAAGTTGCTAAAAACACAGCCTAGTGATCTGTAGGGTAACAAGCGACTGGTGGAGAAGGGTCTGGAGCTCATGATGAGCCCCCGTTGTCTGACTCTCCCCCCTCAGGTGAAGCCAAAGGCCTGTATGGTGCGAGTCCTCGTGAAACACCACCCGGTTCTGTTTACTCGGTCACACCTGATAGTCCACATCTGACGGTCTTTTCAGCACACTACAAGGTCTGACCCACTGTGGAGACAAGCCCTTCTTCCGCCCAGGACTGCCCACCCACACCAGTGTGCCGGGGGCAAAGTTCTCTCTTTTGCTGTGAACATCATGGACCTGCATCTGGCGAGGCCATCCCCCAGCTGGGCCTGTTGCAGAGGACTGTGGGAGTCAACCTGCCTTAAGGCAGCGGCACCTAACAGACCTGGGCCTGGACAGAGGAAACACCCGGGAAAAGGAACGCTGACAGTGGCTGTCACATGATCTTAAACAGCCAGTGGAGTGTTACAACATGACATTTAAAAAATATGCAAGTATATTTTTGATAAGATAATCACTTTATTTGGCCTAGCATGTTACACACACAAGGAATTTGCCTCTGGTACAGATGCGAGGCAGCCATCTGTGGCGCCAACTCACACCAATGGCAGCACTGTCCCCGTAGGGTGCTGCTCTGTAATCAGGGACAACTTGGGGTTCGGTCTCTTGCCCAAGGACACTTCAACTACAGGCACTGAGATTCAAGGTTTCAACCTTGTGGTTGGGAGATGACCGCTCTACCACATGAGCCACAGTCGCCCCAAGATAAAACATCACCACTACGCTTCTGTAAAATTTTACCCTGTGTTACAGAAATGTGGTGAAGAACCTCGTGCCTTATTAGCTGTGGGAAGAACCAGGCACTGTAAACCTCGCAGCAGTACTCCACACTAATTATCATCAGCATTCACACTTCCTCCTCCGGTGAGCACAGAGACAGTGAAAAACCAGATCCACCCCAGAACCCAGGGTAGAGAGGCTCAGTGAATGTGGTGTTGAAGGTGTGGAGGTGGATCCGTTCATCAGGGGAGACGCAGTAGAAGGACAGATGGCCATCAAGACAGTCCACATACACTGCTACTCTGTGAGAGGCAGGGGAAGGATGGAGGGCTGTTGTTTTGTTATTGTGACTCACAGAGTAACCGTCATCAGAGCAGGACAGACTCCAGGACTGATCAGTACATCCGAGCCTGCTGTCTAAACTGCGCCCCTTCCTTCTGATCCCCCTGTACGCCACTGAAATATGAACCTTTCCTTCCCACTCCACCTCCCAGTAGCAGCAACCAGTCAGGGCATCTCTACACAGCACCTGGTGCCAGTGGTCAAACCTATCTGGATGATCGGGATCCGCCTGCTTGCACTTGTTTCTGTTGGATGTCACCCTCCTGTTGTTGTCAGACAGTGTGAGGAGCCCATGTGCTGTGTCTGGGTCCAGTGTGAGTTCACTGACCCCTGATGGAGAAACAAGAAAACAGCAGCGGTTCATCATCATCTGACGGGTTCATTTATGAACCGATCAAATAAAGTTCAGAGACATCCTTTTGTGTCTTCAGAGAACTGAATGCAGACACAAACATTTGATGTAAACAGCTGTAACATGTGCTGCCTTTGTTGTGATGAACACACACTTACACTTCCTCAGACCACGTTTCAGCCTCTGCTCTCCACCATGTTCCAGCCTGAAGGGACAAAGAGAGACCGAGTGAGGACTGAGGAGCAGTGTGTAGGTGGCCCAGATCTGAAAACATCTGGTTTGGTTTGATCACACTTCAGTGGAAACATCAGATCTGTGTCACTTCCTTATGTAGTCTGAACTTAGCTGGTCTGACTGGGACAGAGTACCTCACACTGGTCTTACAAAGCTAATTATTAACTCGAGAAATAAACTCACCTGGACGCTGCAAGATAAATGACACAATAACAATAATGAAAGCATGTGCGCCTGTCCAATGCCGAGGCACTTACACTGTGTCCTCGTCACATTCATTCAGTGAACATAACATTTGTGACTCCATGTTAGAAGATAAATATCACAAATCTTTTTTCCACTGTGAACCAACAGTGACAGAGACACTGCCCCATTGTCCATACCTGACAATGTCCTTCAGTCCAGCCAACAACTGCTTCTCTACCAAGGCTCCTGGATGATTGTAGCTCAGGTCCAGCTCTTTGAGATGGGAGGGGTTGGATCTCAGAGCTGAGACCAGAGCAGCACAGCCTTCCTCTGTGACCAGACAGCCTGACAGCCTGGAGACATAAACATGCATGAGTGTCCTCTCAGTTAAGCTCAAGTTGAATCGGGGTATCAATATCACACTTTAATGATCATCTGTTGAACACACAGTCGTCTCCTGACCTGAGAGTTTCCAGTCTACATCGCGGACTCTTCAGTCCAGCAGACAGCAGCTTCATTCCCGAGTCCTGCAGGTCGTTGTTACTCAGGTCCAGGTCTGTCAGACTGCAGGACAGGGAGCTGAGAACTGAGGCCAGAGCTTCACAGCTTCTCTCTGACAGGTTACAGCCACTGAGTCTTAGAAGAGATGAAGAGCACATATATGACAACATTATTCTCTACATTAAACATGTGTTATAACTACATACTGGTATCCACTACTGGTCTGGAAAAAGAGTGGCTTAAGAAAATACATTTAAATTATAAATGTGACCATTCTGATAACACAACACTGACAAATCTCTACAAAATGACCTCAAATAAATTCACAATACACACAAAAGACAAAACTTCAAAGTGTAAAAGAACTCCCCATCTTTAGGCCAATATTTAGTAACAAGCACCTTTGAGAAATGAGCAGTGCTGCTGGTACAGACTGTGGACCAACAGTCCTCAGCGGTCACTGTGACAAAGGTGGCAGCCATATCTCAGACCTGGTGTGTCCACAGCAATGTGAACAGACCAAACCAGATCTGGGCCACCTGCGTTATGTGCTCCTAGACCTGATTCCCGATTCCTCTCTGACTTCTGACTGTGTGAGCGCCATCAGAACGGTCAGATCAGAATCCGTGTGGTGGTTTTATCGTCTCCTCCTCTGCACATACGGCCTGTCGTCATCATTCGCCGCCTGCCCCTCACAGACCAGTAACAATAAACATGGAGGAGAGCGACGGGGTCAGTGGAGAGACCAGGACGTTTCACATGTGGTGGATGTTTATGGAGAAGCTTCTGATCAGGACAAACTGGGAGGAACATATCGTAACCCAGTGGTTTGGGAGGAAACTGGGCCATTTGACCATCACACACACCACCTGGTTGTTATTCTTGTGCGCACATGGCTCACATTTCAGTTACATCTGTGCACGTGTGGCAGTTTAGGAGCTCAGTGGTGTTCAGTACACGGCACTGACATGGACGGGAAGCAGTGACACAAGGTCAGATCTGAGTGTTAAGGCCTGAGATGTGGATGCAGCCTCAGAGACAGTGTGACATCCTGCTGTCTGTCTGTACCTGAGAGTGTTCAGTTTACAGCGTGGAGCCTTCAGTCCAGCAGACAGACGCTCCACTCCTGAGTCTCCTGGACGATTGTAGCTCAGGTCCAACCTTCTCAGATGGGAGTGGGTGGAGCTCAGAGCCGAGGCCAGAGAAGCACAGCCTTCCTCTGTGACCATACAGCCCGACAGCCTGGAGGCAAACACACACAGCTGGGTAGGAATCTTTAGTAATGGCACAACTGAACTTAAATCAAATCTTGGTGTCACGGTTTGATTTATAGCCTAACAACAACGTTTTTCTTCTGGTGATCATATTTAGGCTTCAAAAATAAAAGTGGTGTCCACTTGTAAAGATTATCTTGCTGACAAAACGCGTAGGCATCAAACTGTTGTTTGTCATAAAGCTTATTTTCTTCAATAATCCAAAAGCCTTTAATTGAGGAAACCAGGGCGATGCTGACTTCCAGGTCGGCCTACTAAAATACATCACACCTATTCAACAGGCTCTCTATTGCCTGTTGAACTGTTACCAGATATGAACTGACACGATGTAGAAGCTAATTAGCAATTATCATGTGATCACTTGGTGTTTTCAGATCAAGGTTATCACTACTGACTGAAGAGCACGTTTCTGGCACGATAGGTTCTGATTTAGCACAAGAATAACTAAATGATCATCTGCTGAACACACAGTCATCTCCTGACCTCAGAGTTTCCAGTCCACATCGCGGACTCTCCAGTCCAGCAGACAGCAGCTTCATTCCCGAGTCCTGCAGGTCGTTGTTACTCAGGTCCAGGTCTCTCAGACTGGACGACTCGGAGCCAAGAATTGGGACCAAAGTTTCACAGCTTCTCTCTGACAGGTTGCAGCCACTGAGTCTTAGAAAAGATGCACAATGACAATGTTAGTCTCTACATTAGGTTTTACTACATACTGTATTGGTAGCCACTACTTGTTTGGGAAAAGTGACAATGACTTAAGAAAAGGTTTTTACATTACTAATGTGACAATTCTGACAACACTGACTTATGTATAAAACACATAACACCCAAGTAAATAAGAACTCCTCGACTACAGCGCCTGTAGCAGCAGCTAGAGATGTCAGGTTCTGTTTTAAAGCAGGACGTTTCAGTCAAATCACAAGGATATTTTGGCTGTTTGGGGATACGGTGGATTCAGGAAGCATTCAGACCCTTTTAGTTTTGCACATTTTATTATGTTGTGGATTCAGTTTTGAATGGACACTGTTATTTCTACCCATCATCATACCCATGATGACCCATGGCCATAAAGTGGTCTGAAAACGAATCAAGCCTCAAAGAGTGAAATCAAAACTGAATATATACAATAAAATGTGCAAAAATAAAGGGTCTGAATCCACTGAACCCCTGACCACAGTTTGCAGTGTCACAGCAAAGTGTCTGAATACATTTGCAAAAAACTTCCAAAACATTTTCACATTGTCATTACTGGTTACTGAGAATGAATGAATGAGCCTACGACACAATAAAATGAATGGCCCTGCTAGCTAGAAGCCAACTCTATTAATCTCATGTTTATCACATCCTGAACAAAGCAAATATAATTATTGGCATGGACGGGACGAGGCCATTTGTTTTCCTCGATACAATTCAGTGCACGATACGTTGCGCACGATTCAATCATGATACAATTAACAATTTGATGACAACGGACGACTAGCTGCAGAATACTTGTACTTTATTCCTCTTTCCCCCCTTTTCTAGCTCTGACTATGTAAAGGACAACCAGATGTACTGACTTAGGTTCTGTTCCTGGTGTATGAAGAGCACGTGATAAATATTGTGATGTTTTTGTATCATGACATATCGAACTTCGATATGTTGTCCCATCCCTAATTGCTGGTCATTCTTTTTCTTCTCCTGACAGACAGTTAACTGTGCTGGTCTGAATATGGTACTAGCGAGCTTTAATCAGTGTTTGAATATGAGGAGTCACAAGCGTCAGCTCCTCCAAAACGAGCCCAAACCTGACAGATCGACTGTGAGCTCCAACGCCACCTGCTGCTAAAACCAGTGTCTCCTCTTTAAATTTGTTTCTACATCTGTTCAGTTAATGAAACCAGTTACAGTTTTTTACTCGTCTTCCATTTTTTCACTTTAGATGCGTATAGGCTTGCAGTTTCCCTCTGCTTCCAGTCTCTGTGCTAAGCTAGACTAAACATGTGCAGGACCTCTCTATGTTCTGATCACAGAGATTAAATGAATCTCTATATGAGAGACAGTTACATGTATTATAAATCCACACCCATGTGTGTGTGTGTTCAACACACCACCCAGCAGCTAAACTGATGTTCCTGGAGATAAAACGGTCTTATTACCTGAGTCTCTGGATTTTGCAGCTTGGACTCTTCAGGCCGACAGAGAGCTTCTCTATTCCAGAGTCCTGCAGTTCATTTCTGCTCAGGTCTAATTCCTCTAGACAGGAAGGCTCCACCTCGAGAACTGATGAAATACACTCGCAGCATTTGTCAGTGAGGTCACCGTCACTTAACCTGAAGTGAAAAACACAACACACTGACAGTATTAGAATCACTGTGTCCTTCTCCACCTAAACAACCCGAGAGCTTCACAGCAGTCGGGTTCCTTGAGACCAAATACTTACAAAGCTGTCTTTGCTGCTTTGAACACTGGCACCAGCCTTTGCAGAGCTTCATCTGATCGGCAGAATTTCTTCAGGTCAAAAACATCCAGATTTTCCTCAGAAACAAGCAGCAGGAAGGCCAGAGCCGAACAATGTGCAGGTAAAATTTTGTTGACATCTCCAGAGCTCAGGTACATTTGGACTTGCTCTACCAGCGACTGGTCACCCAGCTCATTTAAACAGTGGAACAGATTGATACTTGTCTCAGAGTAGGAAGGTTTCCTGATCCGATTGTGAATGTACTTGATTGTCTCCTGGTTGCTCTGCAGACGGTCTCGTTTGTTTTCAAATATTTTCTCAAGAAGTGCCTGATTCTTGCCCTGTGACAGACCAAGCAGGAAGCGCAGAAACAAGTCCCATCGTCCGTGCTTGGTGTCCAAGGCCATGTCCACTGCACGCTTGTGGAGGAGGGCGACAGGATTTTCTCTTCTCTCTGATCGACGTTTCACCCTCGTCTGAGGCAGATTATCACCACTCCTCGGAAGCAGATTTTCACCACTGCTGTTTAATGTCTCTAATACATAGAGAGCGGCAAGGAACTCCTGAACACTTAAATGTATAAAGGAGTATCTGTCCTGTCTGTACAGGCCATGTTCTTTTCTTATGATCTGTGTACAAAGTCCTGAATAAACGGACGCCTCTTTAGGATCCGTGTTACAAGCTTGTAGATCTTTTTCAGAGAAAATGATGTTTCCCTCCTTCAGCTGCTCAAACGCCAGCTTTCCCATTTTCATGATGACGTCTTTGTCTGTTTCACCTTTCTGATAATGCTTCTCATGCTTCCGTTTTGTCTGGATGATCAGAAAGTGTGTGTACATTTCGGTCACCGTCTTGGGCAGCTCGTTGTCCTGAGTGTCAGTGAGGAGATTCTGCAGAACTGCAGCTGAAATACAACAGAACACCGGGATGTGGCACATGATGTACAGACTTCCCAGCTCTCTACGCTGTAGATGACTTATGACCTTCTGGGACATGCCCTCGACCCTGATGTTCTTTTGAAAGTACTGCTCCTTCTGCTGATCATTAAAGCCTCGTACCTCGGTCAGTCTGTGGATGAACCTGGGTGGAATCTTACTGGCTGCGGCCGGTCTAGTTGTGATCCAGACTGAGGCTTTGTGCAGCAGCTCCCCTTTGATCAAGTTGGTTAGCAGGGCGTCTACTGTTGTAGGCTTTGTAGGACTGCGGCACGTCTCATTTTTCTCAAAGTCCAGAGGGAGGTTGCTCTCGTCCAGGCCGTCGAAGATGAACAGAACACTTGAATTTTTGTAGTCTGTTTCCAAATCCTTCATTTCTTCAAAGTAGTCAGATATTAACTCCACAAGACTCAAACGTGGTTTGGTTATCAGATTCAAGTCTCTGAAAGTGAAGGGAAATATGAACTGAACCGTGTGGTTGGCTGCTCCTGCTGCCCAGTCATGAGTGAATTTCTGCACAGCGACAGATTTTCCAATGCCAGCGATTCCCTTCGTCAGGACTTTCTGGGGAGGGGTCTCCTCGTTTGGTAGAGGCTTAAAAATGTCATTGAGGTCAATTTTCTTTTCCTCACTCGTGGACCTTTTACCTTCTAACTCAGCCACTTTGTGTTCGGGGTTAACCTCCTCACTGCCTCCAAGTGTGATGTAAAGCTCCGTATAGCTCTTGCTCAAAGGAGTCGAAGATTCATGCTCCTTTATCCCTTGAAACAAATCCTTTGTTTTATTTTGGAGGTAAGATTTCAGTTCATCTTGGTGCTTTTCGATGGTTTCTGAAAGATGAATAAAAGCGCAGTTACAGACAAAGACCAATTTGTTGGTCTCAGGCCAGCAACAAGGCAATGCACGTCTGCAACATCAAACCAAAGACAGGATCTAATAAAAGGATGGTGATGTAAGAGACCTGCTTTGCAGAGCGTACAGGCTTTTTACGCCATGGGAACGTACTAGGACTGCACCATGAATCCTTTTGTGTGATTTAGATCCCAGTGGGATTCTCAGTCTCATGTAACAACACATTTCATACAGAGGTAACTCAAAGTGCTTTACAGAGAAAACCAGTCAACAGTATTAAAGACTATAAGCATTAAAACCAGAATAAACTCAAAAGCATGTTTTTTATGTTTATATACCATAAAATACTGAATGCTGCCTGTGCACAGATCACCACTACATGAAATGAGTGTTTGTTTTTTATTCTTCTCAACAACTAGCTACAGTCAGCATAACGAGGTTTAGTGGGTGAAGGGGCCCGAGCACGTTGACCACGAGGAGAGTGAGCATCGCTGTAGGCCTATCACCTGTATACAGCTTCAGTAATGCCTTTCCTGTTTTAGGTGTCTGACAAGCTTTGCTGGGGCTGCGTGATCTTCACGACACCTTCATGACAGGTCACTCTAGTCATGTTGTGCTGGCAGCAAAGTGCAGAAAAAGCAGGAGGCACTGTACCTTTGGTTTGGGAAGAAACCACGTCAGTCTGATCTGTGCTGGCAGGAAGTGGACCTGAAACAGAAACACGCAGCAAAACACTGGGTGGCTGGTTCATTTTCAGACAACTACACAATCAAAGACAATATGTTTGATCATGAATTCACAGCAAACATTTACCATGTGTGTAGTTTAAAATGAGGTTTATATCCCTGTTCGCAGTGTTACCGGTTAACTGCGGTGCGCTGACCACACTTCTGTCCTGGGCGCTCATGTTTCCAGCTTCCCTCCGAGTTACAGCTGAAGGACAACAAACAATCAACACCTGAACTGTGTGTAAGGGGGTCAGAGATTACATTTTGTTAGAGCTGATTTAGCAAAGACACAAAAGATCAAACGAGAATTACAGCCTGGAGTTGTACATCTCCATCAACCAGTGGTGTGCACACGTCTGTCCACCCTCAGGACGTTCCTGAGGTTCATGACTATGAGACAAACATGAGGTCACAGTGACCTTTGACCACCAAAATCTAATCAGTTCATCCTTGAGTCTAAGTGGACGCGTGTGCCAAACGTCTGTTGCTGGTATGAAGGCAGAAGAATAAACCCTGATAAGACGGAGTTTCCCCTACTGTTCCTCTGGGGAGGGGCTGCCCTATCAAAGCACCCCCCAGTAGATTAGATAACCTCCTGTCTTTGTGTATTTGCTGCCAAATTCATTGTTTCTTTGCGACAGCCGCTGCCTACGCTTTGTTTAAACTGGTATGTTATGTGCTGCCTGTAAGACATTAGCATTTCCTCAAAACCGTGGGTGTTGTAGTGAACCATCAAGCTGGCGGTTCATCGACCAGGACCTGAAACTACTGAGTCAAATAAATGGCGTCACATCACTTTACAGTTACTTATCAGAACAGTCATTTTCTCTCTTCTTCAGGCCGAGCTGTGGCTGTAAACAAATCAGTGATACTTGGTAAGAAAAACATCATCTTACCACAGCGTGTTGCAACTGGCAGCCCGGTCTGGCCAGTTGTAAACCTGGTCTCCTCACCAGCTCTCCTTCACAACTAAACACATCACACACACAGTAAGACATGGGGCTGAAACTACAGGAGTTATTTATAGCACAAATCCTGCATTTCCATGCTTTCAGTTATCCTGTAAACTGAGCTAATACCAGGAAGAAAAGCAGAAATGAAAGTAAAAACCCAGACGTTGCTTCACTCTTTTAATCCCCACCTCTCGACCCACCTTTGATCAACCGCAAGCAGGAAGTGGTTGTGCTTTGAGGCGCCACCCAGATTACTCATCAAACTAACCTGTCCGCCTTCATTCCTCAGTTAATTAGAAAGTTAAAAAGTAATAAAACTGAAGCTAGTGTTGCAGAAAAGCCGACATTCACAAACTTTTAAATGACAAACTGTGGGGAATGTGGTTCATGGCGAGATGGTCTTATACCCACTTTGTGTTGCAATCTTTTCTTACTGAGGGTAAATGTAAAGTCACCCCAAAGTGAACTACAGCGGTCTGAGACAGGATATCACTATTTAGTGCAGAACAGGTTGGTTTGTTGCTGTTGTTGCGTTAGTTGCTCT